GAATCTGTCCCAAAAATGGCACACAAAATGGCACATTAGATAGGCACACATCCTGGCCACTGTGCTACTGATGCCGTATAAGTTTGAAAAGTATATATATAAACTAAATTTTGAGATTGGGTGGCAGACGAGAACGTCAGACTTAGTGGTGTCAGGCGAAAGCTTCAGATTTAGTGGTCGCAAGACCCGGTCGCAGGCCTAGTGGTCGCAGTCTTAACAAATCTCTAATATTTCAAGTTAAATATATCGAGAGCGGGGGGTGTGATGGAAAATACTATGTGTTTGCATTTTGCAATATATGTACAAAATTACCGCTTTTAGCGAAATTGAGCGGTTCTTTTGAACTTGAATTTTGGCGCCAAACAAATAACCATCATTCTGTGAATTCTAATTTCTGTCGTGGAACTGAGTGGCTGAGAACAAGACTTTTTATTGCAGTATTGTAGCAGGCGCAGCATATCACAGTCTTCTAGATAAATCAACCGTATGTATACAGTTGGGTATCGCGTACACAGTTCTAGTATATAGGATAACATTTCACATAGCACGATACATCCCATGTATTATAGCATAACTCAAGTAGTGTAGAGGATCGATGTCGATCCATGAAAGCACGTTCGAAGCCTAAATCACAGTCTGTGTACGAAACGACGATGCATACCGTTTTAACTGTATTTCAATATACCCTGAACGCCACACACTGAAAGGTGAATTGCACTTTCCGTGTACTCTCCGATTTTGGAAAACATTTAATCTAGCAAGGCGTGTCAACGAAGCTATCACATGCACGCTTTTAGCACGCTTAACAGAATAGAACGCATCATATATGTATATGAATCGGCAATGTAGGGGAGGTGCTCTCGTATATCCTCCGCACATATGATGGATACTAAACACATAAAACAGTACAAGGTTAGATAATTGAACGATGAACGAACATGGTAAACGCGTCCTGGCCGACGATACGAATCGGCTGTCGTCCACTGATTGTGCATCTCAGCCTGGCAAAGGGGTTTATGAAGCAGCCTCTAATACAAGTGCATATTCCATGCCCGTGATTGATGTAGAAGATCTCATGGACGACGATACAACCCCTATCTCACACTCTACGCACAACATACAATCGTATGGTAGTAAGTCTACAATAACATTCGAGAAAATACAGGGTCTAGACGCTCAGATGACTTCAGATAGTACTTTGATGCATGGTACTGTTGGAGTGGCTGACAGTCAAAACATATGTCTAACACCAGCTGCCAGGTATAATATACGAAGTAGTGAACTTCAACCACAAAAACTAGTAGCCGAATCAGCAGGTATCAACGAACAAGCTATTGATACTACCATAGAACACCATAGCGGGTGGTATAACCTAAGAATTGGCGACCAATGTCCACAGACATCCACAACTAAAGCAGCAGGCGACCAAAAAGAGCTTAAAAATTTAGCAGCACACAGTACTGGGCATAATCCAAAGTCTACAACAGCGAAGGCAACCGGCGTCAGGAAAGAGCTGAACAACACCAAAGCAGCAAGCAGCGCTGGGCATCTTCTAGCAGCAGCAAGAGCTGCAGGCCTGAGGAACGAGTCTAGTAATACCAACGGACAACACAACACTAGACAGGCTGTCAAGGGGGCCCCGGTGAGTAGAACCACACCTGGGACTTGGATAGCAGCTCCGGGTGTGCGCGATGCGCCGCAGAATCAACCCCCGACACCTGTTACAATCAACAACACGACTAATACCCAGCAACCTACTGCTGTACATATATATATCAGCCCAATAGCAACCACGCAAATACCAGAAGAGATCAGTAGGTACGTGATGTCCTATACACATGTCCGCAAGAACACACAGGATTCAGGGGTCGAAGACGCGAAGTATGTGCCCGAGCCACAGTGTACCATGCAGGCACATGCATACGCACAGGCACAGATGCATACCAACGGAGTAAACTCGTACACGCGCACACACGCACAAGCACGGATGTACAGGAACACAATCAACCCGAAAGAACCAAGCCCTACCTCGAACTCGCTGACGGAGCAACAAATCAGGGACAGGAAGTATAATGCGGCCTGTGCAGCAAACAATTCCATGGTAAGTATCAGGACCTCAACGGCACTGTGTAGGTATTGCTTGATCCTAAGTTTCAATCATGTTTGTGACCTTTAACATTAGTCAATCATGTGTGCTATTTCCTTGACTAGGCTAATCAATAGAAGCCGGTCGTGAGGTAGCTAGTGTAGGAGTACGGTTGACTTCACAAACCTTGATTCGTTGATTGATCACGCACATATCTCCCTCGATGCACAGATACCAGTGACCAAGCAGGAGTATAACTCGCCGGCATTGGACGCGCGAGGAAGTCCTCTCTCTCTGTCATTTCCATGCCTATATCTGGGCAAGGGGCTGACAGACGGTTGTCCGTTTGGAGATGCGTGTCAGTTCTCACACTCAGGTGAGCTGTTCTACTTATCCTCGTTTGCTCACACCACTGCAGATCCAAGGGCTTTCTGTCATCGCGAGTCTGTGCTGTACGCCGTGAAAACTCGAGTGGGTCGGTGTCTAACCTTGATAATATTCAAATATATCGTGCTTATTGCACGGAACGTAATGTACTTTGGTTCTAGCAGGTACGATGATGGGGGACAATGATGTAGTCATACTAATGAGTTGTTCTTCGCTGCAGGCGACATTCCAGTCTGGGTGCGACCGTTCTATGAGAGGGAGGTATTGAAGTTACGAGCAGCCAGCACAACACACACAGGATATAATGCCAATGACGTATACGCAGGCGTATTCCACGCTCTAGCACCACCTGATAAGGACATCTTGCCTAGGCGCGACGGATTCGCGCCCTGTAAGGCGTTGTTTACGTTGAATTGTAATTTTTGTGTTTCTCGGATTGAACACTGTATGTATGGTCGGCCCGCGCAAAGTCTCCCTTTAGTTCGCACAATATGCCTTGTTTTATAGGGGAAATTTTACATTCTGGTACGGTATGGGCCGTTACTACTTATATACGTATGTCTCTTAATGAAACACTATAAAACACAAGACCCATCATGATATGATTATGCATCAAATCGTTACGTTCAAAGACGCTACAAGTGCACCTGTATCGAAGCATTTGAAATATGTGTAGACGGCGTGGGTTTAAGGAATTGTTGCTCTGTTCTTGAGGGTTTTCCACTTTCTATAATTATATTTACAGTTAGCTATATGACAAGGCTGCAGTCTAAGAGCGACTAACGAACATTTCACACGTACATGTTGTCAATTGATTTCCGATACAATTTCTCTCGCCAGCTCCAGCATCACTAGGCCCTGCACCGCCCATAACGTATAACAAATGGATACCCGCACCCCGAGCTTCCGAGCAGAAAAACACAAAAAAAGTAAAATTGGATCCCATGACAATTGTCTTGGCACAAAAATCGGCTTTAATGGCGCCCGACGACATTCAAATGGTGCAGACAGTAGTGATACCACCTCACGAGACTGATGTTTTCTCGCTGCCTCGGTTACAGCGAAAAGATTTTGACAATTGGTACGGGCTGTGTTTTGGTTTTTTTGTTGTACTGAGTTTGCTGTGGTGTGCGATTTCGGTTTGCAGCGAGCCTCTCTCTGCCAGTTTTAAGTAAAAATGCATCATGCCCAACGTTGCGAATGCGTTGCGAATACGTATGAGTCAACATTGGATCAAACTTTAACTCAACATAAAAGTACTTCACAGCCTGCATGTTTTCCATATGCCAGTTTGAAAAATCCCATCAATTCGGAAATCCAAATGCATGTGAATGCGTCTGTTCATAACCGTATTCTCTGCCACTGAAGCTTTACCCACTCTCTATCCTCACGGGTGAGGTGCGCTGCTAAACTGTTTCCATATCAAACAACAATACTTCATTCCAATGAGAAGCTATGTAGCTCCCTTAACACAACGGTTCCTTTTGTCGCGCCCCATACACAGGTACCAAGAACGGATACGGAATGATCCAAGCCTGACACTGGACGAAGATCAGCTGCGATGTGTTCGACTGACAATTGTTGATGAGAAGAATGTCTTTCTGACGGGTTCGGCTGGTGTTGGCAAGTCACACACTACTGCCACTGTCCGCGATTTCCTCAAAAGGTATATGAGAAAGATGATAGACTGTTGCGGAGTGGAAATGCGTGCTTTTGGCTGTATCCTCATATGGAGGCAGGGCTACAGATGCGTTTATGCATCCGAATGCGACTGATTTTTGCAAGTGACAGAAAGGTTTGCGTTGTGTTTTGCGGATGTGGCACGAGTCTAAAATTACATTTAAGTGATGATGAATACAGGATCGACGAGGTAAGAATGATTATCATTAGCTCAAGTCTGCAAATTTAAGAATCCATTGACATCTGGGACACCTTATAGCATTATAAGAGGCGATATTCCTTCATGCAGGCAGACAGCTCTGTGAGTTCATATTATACTATTTCTGTCTCAATAACCGGAAATATGACAAAGATTTAACTAAAATACGAGGGTACGACCATACCCTTGTTTTTTAAGCAGTAGCTTACGTAAAGTCTCCGCTAGCGTCCTTTTATACGAAACCTCGACGACGAATCGCTCTCCTCATGCCCTTCCTCGTGTTTCTACTCAGATTATATGAACGTGAAGATTATCCCGACAGAGTCGTTGTCGCGGCACCGACTGGAGTGGCTGCGACGCATATTGACGGAACGACCATAAATTCTGCAACAGTAAGTTGAGGCGGCTTTTATGTGCGTCTTGATATTTTTTACGTATCTATTCTGGTTGGATTTGTTGGTTTGCGAGTTGTCTGTTCCACGTGTTTGTCTTAGTAATTAAGGTGGCATTTGCTCGCTGCGTATGTGTGTACACATGGGGTCTGCGGTAAAATATCGCATATTTGGGTTCTTGTACATAATGTCGGACTCAGGTGTGAACCTTTAAATCTCGATAGTATGTGTGCTTGTGTGTTCAAATTGCTTTCGCGATGCACTGTCACCGGACTTGAACCCTGATTTGGATATAATCGGATGAGAACATGATAGGAAGATATATTTTCATCCGATATGGTGAATCCTTCCAACATGACAAATTTTCTCGGCTTTTGAATGCGAGTGAGTCGTTTAAAATTCGACACGCATCTAAGGAATGAATATTGCACCCTACTAGTGAACGCGCATCTGTCACATACGTCGATTCACTTTCCCAACCTATGTGTATGGTTTGTACAACAGGGTGTGGGTATCCCTTCAGAGGTGGCAGACTTCCAACGAATGATGAAACCCGCAATGTACAAGTTGTGGACACAGGATGTGGAGCTATTCATGGTTGATGAGATCAGTATGGTTTCAGGTGAATTCTTGGACTGTTTGGATTCACAAATACGCCTCATGTGTATGAACCTCCCCAAGAACATGGGCAAAAAACTTCACGAGTTACCTCCATTTGGTGGTATACAGGTACGCGAGTTTGTTTGCTTATCAGAGATATTTGTAGGTGTAAACATGTATTGAAAAAATTTCCCTGATATTTATTTATATAAACTACAAAATTTCATTCAGTCAGATTTTCGTGTGCTTTCAAATGTTTCAGGTATATGTATACATATGTTTAACCCGTATCGATAATTGATACATAGACGAACCTGTGACATTTCAATATTTGCTAGATTACCTTTCAGCGTTGCGGCAATTTTAGGCCATGGTGATTGCCAGCTTCGATGACTGGTGTATGAATCAAACTATCACGCACTTATGTGATGATGGCGACCATCCCTATTTTCCAGCCTATTTGTTGCTAGCGCATGGTCTTTCACGTGACTAACAACAGCGTTATCCGTGCGAAAGTATTTAATCTTAGAATTGCATTGTTGTCTGCAACGATTAGGACTTTATTGATGCTCATTGACCAATATTTCTCTCGATGTATAGATATTTTTCTGCGGAGACTTTCTGCAATTGCCGCCCATCGAAGGCTCCATACCTTTCGAGACTATGAAGAAATTGGATCCGCAACAATTGAAAAGGGGACTAGCTATCGAGAAGTATAAAAATGAGAAACAAGAATGGTAAGATTGATATAGATGTATTCAACGTGCTCTTCATCTAGTTCTTACATCTGTGTATGACCTGCTTGTTCAATTCTCGTTCCGCGGCACGTTTGGGAGTGGGATCGCATATGTTGGAAACTGTGACACTGTTCCCTTCTGTCTGTCTGGTTACTCACAAGGCAGAAATTTTCGGACGGAATTTCGTTGTTGGAGGTTTGGACTTACTTAAGCACGGCGTAATTTCTCTCCCAGATCAGCTGGGAGTTGACAATACCCCTAGAGTACATCACAATGTTCGACGATTCGTCCCGAGTCTGCTTGCTATGCATCACACATATGCTCACACACGGCATTCGCGCCACCTCTGAACCCCTTTACTCAGGACGGAACGGTCCTACTTTTTAAATCGGGGTTTCGCCTTCTCGGCTTCTACGTGGGGTCGCCTCGACCTAGTCACTATAACTCTATCCAAGTGTTATCGTCAGTTGGGCCAGCAACTGTTTGTACATCATCTCAATCAAATCCGAAATGGTAGGGCTGATCAGCGCACTCTGGAGTATGTGAGTGTGTGTGTGACAATCCCCCAAGCAATTGTATAGCTGGTTTAATATTAGAGTAAAAATCAATATTGTGCCTTCACCAGTTTGTCAGTTTCTTTCTTTTTGCGATACATGTTTCTTGCGAAGTACTCTATACGGAAGGTCGCCTTAAGTTGGCCTAATAATACTTGCTGCAATATTGGGCGATTCGTGCCAGGTATGGAAACATTGGCAGAATTCGCCACGCCAACTACATCTGCGTTCGTTCCATCAGTTGACCCAACATTTCTTGCCCACACAGCCTCGTTTCCGACCGTAGCCAACCATTGACACAAGCTCGTGTGTCCAGCCATTGATTATTGGACGACAGTTGTAGCATTTTGGGCTCGCGGTGATCTTCTGTGGCTTTTTTATAGCATAGATTTAACTTAGACGTTGCCTTATATATGCCAATTGAACCGTCTGCCCCAAGTCTCTGACATTTTGAATTCTGCTGCGCCTACGCTATAGCTATTTCAATCAATTTAGGACACCACTTCCCGATCATCGGCTCCCCACCACATTATTTCCCTTCAACAAGAAGGTGCAGCAGTTAAATAGCACCAAGCTGGCCTCTCTCTGTAGCCAGGCTATGACGTTCCATGCACACGATCACGTCAACGGACTAAATAACTGTCATGACGAGACAGCCCTTTGGTATGTGTTGAAGGGCACGTGAATCGAATCAGCTGCTATCGACCTTATATATTAAAAATAGTATGCAGTAGTCCACAAGTACATAGCTTGACCTGTGTTTGAACACTTGCGAAATTTTATAATGTAGGGTTACTCCTGAGTTTAATCGCCTATGTATTATTACACATGCCCTGTGTTGAGTCTGCGGAATTGGTCGGTGAGGTTTATTGGGTGTATGCGAGCTTTCAGTATATACCATCGAAGTTCGGCACCCGCTACGATGGCTGGAGGTAGTCATTAGCATTTGCTTATTTTCAAGCTTATTATTGCTTGTATAGCCAGTTTGTTTCAAGTGTATATATAAAATTGCTATGTTACACTACTCGCTCAAGTATATGCAGTGCCAATGCTACTTTTCTCGACACTTTGGGCATACAGTATACATCTCTTATCAGGATCGATGGCCTATTGAGTGCGATCCTAACTTCCTGCTTCCACATCTGACATTCAGACGCTGTATTTGTCTTGACATTGTACACTTTAGGGAATCCGAACTGTTTAAAGGAGGTAGCCTCGCCGAACGCGCGCTCCAATTGAAGACCAATGCGCGTGTGCTGCTGATCAGGAATCTCGACCTGAAAGGCACAGGTAAGTGTTTCCGTCGGCACTTTAGCGTGATTTTGATCTTGCAGAACGTAGATTTGTTTTAGTATGCTAATGCACAATTTCTGGCGTGGCAATTGGATGTCCCACGTTAGAATTAACTGCAAAATGCTAATCTCAAGTTCAGACTGCGAGTGTACGTCGAGATATGTTGCGTAAACAAGTAGTAGCGTACAAGCAGCACGAATGATTATGACTGTGTACAATACTATGACGAAGAAAAATGCATATGGCGTGTATTGGGTGGGAGCTTTAAAGCCTAGTTCCTACTATGGATCTACGCCCGGAGTGCACATTGAACCTCGACCATTCTTTTATCAATATTTGTCGTGTGATGGAATGCGTATAGAAGCTAGACATATATTCGAAAGACATTGGCTTGCTTCTGTTTCTGATAGCCGTGTCTTGCCCTTTATGTCAGAGCAAGTATATGCATCTGCATTCAATTTTGTAGCCTAGCACCTGAATTTACACCTCGGCGTACCCTTTTAATTGCGAAGATAAACTCAAACCTCTGATCAATGGATCGAGCGGCGTGGTGACCAACTGGACATCAAAGGTAGAGGCCGAACAGACCGTACAACACCGAATGAACTATTTATCTACACGGGTATGCTAATACACATTCTCATTTCAATTTCGCCTTAAGTGTGTAATTCGGTATGAGCGTAGGTGTCATAAGGTATTATGCAACACGAGCTCACTTCCCTACTGAAATGTTAGAAATTTTGGGCTTGATACGTAATATTTAGTATTGTGATACTGTGTGGTCGCTTGGCCTTTCCTTTCAAAAACGAGCATTGTATGCATGGTCCGTGCCGTGTTTGAATGCTAGATGCAAACTGTTTTGGATAAAACCTTACCTTCTAGATCGGCAAGATGTACATACATATCGCTCTCAAGCTGGTCCTGTCGCTTCTTTCAAATGTGGTGTTTCAACTGACGATTCTCATACTATCTTGATTGCCATTTCGGATATGTATACCTCCGTATGGATAGCATGATTGTTCTATCGATTCAGATAATAGCTGTGATTTATTGTCTATACCGTTTTATACAAGTGTACTCTCTCAAGTATACGCACATGGGGTTTTACCAGATGCTAGATCAATGCGTTATAACTAGAGCAGTTAGTGTTGCTTCGAGTAAAATCATTATTGAGGATTCTATGCTTCCTTTCTGAGAAGACAGTCGAACAGGCAACTTTGCACATTTTCAATAATATATTTCATCTTTTCGGCGTAGGTGGAGGCTCTCCATTCAGCCCTTGGGCACGGAGAATATTCAAGGGGCTCTCGCGCCTGTGAAATCTCAGATGAACGAGCGGTACGTACAGGGTAGTATTACGGCCGCCAAAAGTATGAGATGCTGTGCTGTCAGCCTTTGCCCTACTGTTGGCTTTTTAAACTGATTTGTTGTTTACCTGTAGACTTTGAAACGGGTTTGCGTTTGCGTTTTTCTCTTTTGTTACGTTGTACGGTGTAGCGAGAGTTTCGAAGCCTCGCGGTTGATTGTGGTTCAAAGACTAGAATGTGTTTACAAATATTCGTGTGAATCAGCAGCAGCAGCCCCGAGTATGAACCTCAGTGCAGTAGGAATCTCGTGTAACGATCTTGATTTGTTGATTCCCAGACTGCTATCTGCATTCCTTTTTGCAACGATTAAACAGTGCGAGGTGGAACACGAGTTGCTGCAAATAGTGGCCGCGAAGTACAAATGGAAATTACCCGTTGTCGAGTTCAATAATGGGCGACAGATGATCATACTACCATGTCTCTTCAGGAATGAGGTCATGGGTCAAGGTGTGTATGTGATGTATTAGTCTACGCTTTTTTTTGGCAAGGAGATGATGACAGACGTATCGAGTAGGTTATAATACTGATTTCAACTGTGTAGGCGCCTGTCTTTCTGCAATGTACATATTGATTTTCTTGTGTGCGCTCTGGTTTCTTAATTATCTGTCTATTAGAGAGAATTCTTGACATAGGTTGCTGGCCAGCCCCGTGTATTCAATACACCAACAGTGTATCCTATCCCACCCTTCTGCATGGGGAATCGCCTACTCATCTGCTCCTGGACATCAAGCCTACACATTCGTGCTATCTAGATGCCTTCACGATTGCGCATTTACACGCACCTACACACCTCGCATCCTACTAGGTATGACTTATCGTCTGCAAATACCTTTGAAACTGGGATGGGCTGTGAGTATTCACAAGTCTCAGGGGATGACTCTCACGGCCGGCAATGTATCTACAGCTGGGGCCTTTGCAGAAGGTCAATCTTACGGTGAGTCACGCACAATCATACGTTTTTCTCATATTTGCTGGGGGGGTTTGTTTTGTAGTTTATGCGGGACTTCTGTGTTCTGGGGTCTACGATACCGCTTGTGCCTCTGGATGAGCGAGTAGTGCTATCTAATGACCTCAATATAAAAGTGGACTTTTTTTATGTGTGTGTGTGTGCTCGAAATTTTTATTTATTATCTACCCGTACGTACAAAAGAGGGATTTGTGAACCTGTCATATCTGCGGGCGAATTGGTCTACAATAGATTATCAGCGCCCTCGGTATTGTTTCTGCTGAATTGATCAATTAATCAATAGTCTATTTTATTTACTATGGTGTGTTAATACGTGCATTCGTATCCGTATTTGCCTGAGACCAATTCACTTGTTTACACTTCACCCGTGCGTACCTATCACTATTTAAAACTGAAGGAGATGCATGGCAGCGTGCATAGCGGACCTTTTTCGTATTCCAAAACCCGATGTCCTGTTCTGGCTGTCCAACTCGTTATAATTTATTTACCTTACCGTTCCGTCCGTTTGCAGTGGCTCTATCTCGGGTAACGGGTCCAGAGGCACTCTATATGATTGATATGTTGACCATGAAGGACATCAAGATGCCCAGGCAACCGGTGATATACAATCAGATCATGGCTCAGCTAGACATGTTATCTAGGGTGAGTTCGTACTTTTGTGCACCGTATGTACAACACTATGTCGCAGTACTTGTATTTATCTCTGCAGATTCATCGATTTGGTTAATTGTATGTATGCAGACTCACAATATTGTCCATTGTATAAAACGGATTCAACAAGTCTTTGTTTCTTATCGTTGATCGGAGCTCGTGAGTAAGCGTGGCATTCACCCCTGATATTTGGAAAGTTATACACAACACTGTTTTGTATAGATGAACGGCCGCACAACATTACAAACCATACTATCCTTAGACAAGGCCAGTTTAACTTGCAAAGAGCATCTGGGGTTTATATTTGTCTTCTAATTGTTGTTTTATCATATACCAAAACCAACTAAAATGTTCTGTTTCTTGGACCCCATTCTGATTAGAAACTGTGTGTGCTTACGGGCGAGAAGAAATGGTTGACAATGGGTCCTCGTGAATTGGTGGACAAAGTCAAATTATATGACACGATACCGAGAGATATTAAATTAACCATCGTTAACTTGGTCAAGCGACTCACACCATGGGCGAGGACCAACTTGGAGAACGAGGTGTGTGTGTGTGGAAGTAGCTGTCCCATGGTTTATTGCTTTGCTAGTGGTGTGAAATTTTTACATGGCCCTATGCGGTTGTGCACTGACGAGTACACTGTGTTGCAGCATCTATTTCTCGCGGCACGGGGTTTTCTTTTGGGGGGGGGGGTTATTTTTTAAGAAGCTTTGTCGTATGTCGACACGCGAATGACTAGCATCAATTATACTTCATTTTGCGATTACCAAGTTTGTGTGCCAGTATAGCTAGAAAAGATCATTTGAGGGTCAAATCAAACACTCCCCGTATATTGGATAGTAACCAATGGCATGTGAATATATATAGAGGAACTCCGCTAAGTGCCCATCAGCAGACTGCCTGACCCAAATGCGATGCAGTATCCTCTGTGCTGTATGTTACAAGAAATAGTATGCATTTCGATGACGAATTTTGCATAATCGCGAACGTGCAGGTGAAACATTGGAACACTATCAGTCCGAAGCAATCGCGCAATTACCCATCGACGGGTTCCAACATACAATGCTACAAATGTAGGCAGATGGGGCACTACTCGTCAAAATGCCCATCTGCGGGTTTCTCTGTATCTAGATATAGGTGATCCTTGAACTAACTCAAAAAACAGCGATTAAATACCGCTCTAATACATCCGCACGCATCATTGACACGTGCTGCCTGTCGAGTGTGCCAATAGAGAGATTCGTCTACCTATGCTGTGACATCTACTTCTCAATCAGTAGTAGGATGCACATGAACGCAATGATTATGAGGGCTGCGACAGACCACAGGCGCTGTGTGTCTCAATCGACCCTTCGGGTGGCTTTCTTTCTATCGACCTATATTGCTGGATCACAAATGCACCACCAGAGGTTCAAACGACCATATGAGCATGCCTGTCGTGACGGTTGCGAGATGGCACGGCTGTGTACTGGAAACAATGATGCGATACCTACACATGATGTAGATTGACCGTGGTATATAGATTTGATTTTGCACCTCCTGCTCACTAAACGCCGTGCGTGTACAAGGACTTTAACAAATATCTTGGAAGATGCAATATCAATCGCATTTTCAGTTATTTCTCAATGAAACATGCGCATGCCAGGAGAATAGAGCTTTGTAGAGCTATACATTTCCAAGAGATCATTCCAAAGTGCCACTCATATTCTGGTGGCTGGAGCGCTAAAGATTTACTTGCCATCTGCATGTACTCGGATGGCGCGGCAATCCGCCGGGCATCTCGTATAAGCTAAACGATAGAATCTCTGGTATAACAACGAATGTTGAGCTGGATTTTCATTGGGTTCTGTGCTTGCTGAACACTGTACCCCATCCGCGCACATCCACAACTGAGCTCGACAATGGTTTACTTAGAATCATACACTTTACCTTCACAGCGCAAGTCACTGTTGTTGAATGGGACGGGAATGTTTCAAAATAAATAGCAATCAACTCATCTCATGTCATGTGTGAAAGTCTATCAGGCTGGTCTAGATATTTTTCTGTTTGTAGCGAGTACTTGGGGTCAAGAACGTATAAGAATTTTCTCTCCGCCGTCGATTCCTCAGAAATACATTAGCTTTGAGTATTACTCACTTTCGATGTTCATTGCCGTGTCAACAATCTGCTTAGTGCATTACTTTCCATTGTATGTGGTGGATCTTCTCAGTAGTTTTTCCAGTAAATGATGTGCAAGATTTGTGCATCAGATGTAATCAAACTTTACACACCACTGCATGAATCCCCCTTAGTGACCAGCTGTAAGTGACTCGCTTTGGGGCGGAAGGTAGCATGCACGCAAGCGGGTAGACCGTTTTAGATATCATTATTCATCCATCTGGGGGTTTCCTTATCGGTCGCTGCTACCATTCTGTTGAGCTCTCGAAATCAAAAGACGATCAGCAACCAATAGGCTTTTACTTTGGCGCATGCAATGAACCGATTTGAATCTCTAACTTCTCATGTGCGATAGTGTTTGAGAGCAACCGCATGCTCCGAACCTAGAACATACCACCAATATCGAGTAGTAAATGATATGACCGATAGCATTCAATACGAAATATCAAGTTATCTTATTCAAATAACGTCGCTAGACATGTCAACGCCACAACCACGTTTTGCCGTAAATAGTACCAAGTGGTGTGGTTTTCATTTCCTTTACAAAATATAGAATCGAGCTTGAGTGTTACGCTAGGTTGACTCCCCTCCTGCGCAGAGAAGCATTAATTCGGCCGAGGTAACAGCGATGGGCATCTCGACTCGTTCTTGAAGTACTTTTGAGAGCAACAGCATGAAAGTATATCTCTAAAGTTGGTCTGGGGCAATACTGCGGATCCAAGTTCTTATGATGGAATGTCTGATCTTAAGGCGATTGCGGCAAAAGAATGGGTTGTGTATGATTTGCAGGAAACGCATCAAAGTATTCTCCCGAGGTACAACACACACAACAAGTAGGTAGTTATACTACAGCGATTGACATCTCAACTAGTTCTTGAAGTGCTTTTGAGGGCAACATCATGGAAGTGTATATCTAAAGTGGGTCTGGGGCACAACTGCGGATCCACATCCTTGTGATGGAATGTCTTATCCTAAAGCGGCTGCGGCATAAGAATACTGGGTTGTGTATGGTTCGCAGGAAACACACCAAACTACTTCCCCGAGGTACAACACATACAACAAGTAGGACATTGTACAACAACGATCGACATATCAACTCGTTCTTGCAGTGCTTTTGAGGGCAACAGCATGGAAGTATATTTATAAAGCTGGTCTGAGGTACTACTGCGAATCCAAGTCCGTATGGAATGTCTGAGCTTAAGGCGGCTGCGGTATGAGATTACTGGGTTGTGTATGGTTCGCAGGAAACACACCAAATTATTCTTCTGAGGTACAACACAGACAACAAGTAGGACATTAAGCAACCACGATTGATATCTCAACTCGTTCTTGAAGTGCTTTTGAAGGCAATAGCATGGAAGTATATCTCTAAAGTTGGTCTTTGGTCTGGGGCACTACTGCGAATCTAGTTCCTTATTATCAAATCAAGAATACTGGGTTGTGTATAATTCGCAGAAAACACATCAAAATATTTCTTCGACCTACACCTCAGAAATTCAGCTACGGACACTGACTGTAAGGTGCAGAGGAAGTACATCGATGTATTTCCATGAATATAGTAAGATATCTGTATTCATTATATATCAGTACACCCTCATTTTCAGCGACTTCTTATTGTCATGGTTTATGTCATATAACCACAGATCAGAGTAGAATTCGATTACAATTTTCAGGCTGAACTTGAGCAGTATTTGCAAGACCACATCCTTTCTGATTTGACTTCCGTGACTTATTCTTGTTGTACTTCCAATTCTCAATTGAAGCTTGAAGATTGGGAGCGAACACATCGATATGACCATCGACTATCTCATGCGTTTAGAGCTGCGCATAAATTCATTAGAAGCCACATTCATCGACAATATTATTTAATGACAGAGAACCCTCCTCTTGACACTGATACTGGTTGGGGCAACCTCAAAGGCAAGATAGACTCTGTGCGAAGTATTCTGTAAACAATACAGACACATATATCTAACTTTAAAAGCTGTCAATTTTAAGAAATTTGAGTGCAATTTGCTGATACAAATTGAGCCGTTAGCATTCACCCAGAAGAAAGCCCCCATTGTGAATTTACTGAACAGCGGTGTGTTCCTTGTACGGAATCCTGGTAGAGAGAGCCACGCTTAAATTTTGCACTTCGGAATGTACTCTATGAAACAATAAAACTTTAATGTCTCGTTCAATCACTTCATCCCTGTCGAGTGTGCAGGACATAGTACGGATAAAGTAAAATTAAGCTAGTGAGCTCCGCCGGTCACCATCAGGAATGTTGCGTCATCATCTCGCAATCTATAATTTAACGCCGTGGTCTAATCACGAGAATGCAATAAACTAAGCGGGTGCTTGCAGCTGAAGATCAATGTGAAGTTTGGTTCAGAAATTGATTATCGCCGCTGTCTCACAATAGTTGTCAGCAAATACTATTAAACGTGAAACCCTCCAAAGAGTGAAAATTAGATCAAATACATTTTTGTGATTTTAAACCTTAACGTGGTGACAACTAGAAAACGACAGACAGTCTTGGCGTACACAGGAATTTCGAGTTCAAATTACATTGAGCATTTTAATGGACACGAATTACTGTGCTGAAATGTCTGTAAACTTCGTAAAGGGGTTCATCAAAATAATTTTGATTACTTATAGAGGTGAAAAGTGGGTTGACACGGTCTTTCGTACTAGTTTACAGTATAGTGAATATCATACAGTCCAGAGTAACTTTGTAGGATCGAGGTCATACATCATCGAACGTCCTTAGTAAAGCGGTTGACATATTATAACGCTTTATAGGTATACACTCTGCTCGCGTTTATCTGCTCGCCTTTTAAAACATTTCATTGATATTGCATCCAATCCGTCGTGTAAAACTCCACGAGACAATACAGAACCTGTAGTTCTCTTATATCTCATCTAGCGGTTTAAATGAGCACCTTGGAGGCAGGTGAATATCCACCTACTGGTAGTACACAATATTATGTTCATTTCAAGGCGAGTGGTGATAATCACAGGGCAATACAGGATAATCTTCACAACAATTATATCATGACTGTATCTAATATAAATCCCCACTTCTTGGTTATTGGGAGGTAGCCGATGTGCACCGCGAGTGGCGTTTCAAAGACGCTGCTATACATCATGGAATATTCTTTATGATACATCTACGAGATATCGTGTGCCGCTATATTAGACAGTCATCGGCACTCCAATACTATTATAACCCATGGGTTCCACAGTGCTAGTGTATTCAGACTTTTTAAAATGCAACTCGGTTGTATGTGGTTGACTATAAATCATCAGGAGAGTTGATTATATGTTATCTACCGTGCACAGGAATCGTATTATTAGAGTTGGTTGGTAGATATTTCAACACTGTTTAGTAAAAAGTTGGTGTCGGCTATATGGCCTGTTCTATGGTCCGAAGTTTCCAATAATTTCGTGTACACACTCAAACGGGGTGGATCAGTTACAGAGATTTGAGGTAGTACTCAATTTTTTTCTGTTGGTATATTTGTTGTTTTTCTGCATATGCCGTCAAAAGGTTGCTAAAAGGGTTTTAAGCGATCGTGATTCCAGATTTGGTCAATGTACATCATCATAGAGGTTAGCTCGGACTCAGTCATGAATATGACTCCTGTTATTTTTACACAACCACCATAATTCCAACTTCGTGTATATTAGTCCACCAAATACTTCTGTTTTGAGTAATTATTATCCATAACATCTATATCTGACTGAAATTTACAGAGTACGACACAGATTGTAATTTAGAATTAGTTCCGAGTGTATATATTGTTGCTGGCAGTTCGTGACAGGGTTTAAATATACAACTTGAATCTATCGCTGGTCAATCGGGATTATATTTAATATGTTGGCGGTATGTCTAGATTTGTGTGCGGATTCGACCAATTCTAATGGCCATACGTGAGTACCAAATATATAATACGTAGAAAGTTTTTATACATCAATGTACCTGTTAAACTTTAGAAAAGTGGTGTAGTCGAGATTTGATACATCAAGAATTTGGGTACAGCGGCATCGTAGAAGACATTTTAGTCTTCATATGCAATTGGCATGTGTACTCGATTTATACAACGTGTGTGTTTGGTTATTTCACATCGATCTCAGCCGACTTTTTTTTCGGAGTGATGTCTCTCATAATTTCTGCGGCTGCACTGCTCGACCCGTGATTAACCGCACAGGAGTAAAGTTCGGAATTAAGCGGACTTTGAAGTTTTGCATGGCGGAGTTGGATGATTTATGTGTGGGTACAGACTTTGCACCCATGCATTCAGGATCAGTATCAATTGGTTTTAAAGTTTATTATCATCATTTGTTTTGTTACTCTCAGGGTGACTGTCTCTAGTATAAACAAACATGGAAATCGTTCGTGCGAATGCTGTGGTCTCCTTGTAGTCGTTGATCAGGTATCCAAAGTATATGTGCGTGAATGCAATCTTCTGTATTTAAATTACGTTGTGGACATCAACAGAACACACAATCTTAAAAGATGCCAAATAAGATGACTAAACTTCAGTTCTGTGCGGACCAGCCAGGTTAGTCATGGGCTAGTTAGTAGATTGCTATTTAACTATTCGTAAAGTTGATTCAAAATGATATGAGTACGATTTAGGACTACGAGCAGTCCACATGATAGCGCGCACAATAATGATGTGTGTACTTGAATAGAAAGAAATATGTCAATTATTCAATAGTTTAGTGGCCGAGTATGAATGTGGTCCGATGTATACAAGTATAGGACAACTAGATGATACACACGCACTATCGTGTCGTAGCTCACAACATACAGCACATTGAAGGCCCTAGATGAGTTTTTAATTCAGCCCC